TTTGTTCTGAGTTAGTCACGGTGGCCGGCTGGAGGCTGCTACCTCATTATGCGCCGGGTCTGCTAGTCTGCCGGGAAGCAGATGGTGGGGAAGTAGGCAGCGGAGACAGTGGCCAGACCTGAATCCCGTTCACCTGTCACCTTCCACAAAATGCAGGGTACCGGGAGCTGAGGATGCTTTCCCCCTGACCGGAGAAGGGGGTTGAGGGGCGTCCCTTCCATGCCTCTGTGAATGTCCCAGGTACCTGTCCTTGCCTGATTCGCCCCACCCCACCCCCTGCCTCTCCCTTGGCTGCAGCTCCTCCTCGAACTGTGTAAATGTCACTCACGTGTCAGGATCTGTGTTTACAGCCTGTTCCTCGCCTTGCTAAGTCTCCAAGGACAAGGCAAAGCAGTTGCGCGACGTCCCCCAATGATTAGCAAAGTTAGCCGCCTCTGAACTCAGGGCCGGGGTGCCCAGATGCCGTCCCGCTGCGGGAGATGCGCTTGAGCCTCTAACTGACGTTTTTTTCGCGTCTAAGCCGGATGCGGAGGGATAAATAGAGAAGCTCCTTGGGTGGCGATCCCAACGGCCCGGGGAGTTCAGGCCAAGGATTGATGGGGACTGCCGGTCAAAGAGGTGGGTACCGAATGGTATACATCTCTTTATGGATATAGTTCCTTGTCCCCTGGGTAGCTCTTAACAAGGGTCACTGAGTACCCCCTCCCAAGCTACGAAGCAGTCCCTTGAGTCCAGCCAGCACCGACGACGCACACTCCAAGCTTCTTACAAAAGAGTTTCCTACCCTTTCAGCGACATCCTGAGGAACCCAGATTCACTTTTCATTTCTGACTTTCTTTGAAATAAGTGTCCCAGATATCCTAGAATAACGTACCTCTAAATTCCTAGAGGTGACCATGAACCAGGGTCTTATGCAGGCACTGAATTTGACTGTCCGTGTGAATATGATCATTCCTGTCTTTAGTTGGACGAGATTGATCATCTTTCCCTCGTTAGGGCTTTGGTTTGTTTGCTTTTGTTGTTGTTTATTTTTTATTTTGAGACAGGGTTGCTTTAGAACCTGTTCTGGACCGGGCTGGCCTTGAACTCATGGCGATCCGCTTGCTTCTGCCTTCAGAGTGCTGGGATTAAAGGCGTGCACCACCAGCGCCTGGTTTAAGTTAGGGCATCTTTATGCCTAAGTACATGCAAACAAATAACTTGAAGAGTTTTTGCAAATATGTCTGATAGGAGCTCAGAGAAGATTAAGTAGGCTCCCCTGAGCACACAAATGTTGGTGTGGGTTGTTAAGATGCCTCCTTTGATATGATGTGCACTTGTAGGCACCCCCTGTACATTAGTGCTGCTGGCTGTGGTTTTGCCTACAAAGTTAAATTCGTGTTGGTTGTATTTTTGCCAAAAGAGATGAACTTGAGCATTTTCACACGTGGACACAAACTTGGGCACCACAAGTGTAACACATATTCATGGGCAGAAGTTTTGTACAATATGTTGGACGTGTGGTTTCATGCTGCCCCAACTGTGTGCCCTGTGAGATAAACTGCAGAGGTCCTGGCTTCCCTTTGGTTGTGCCAGGTGGACAGACTGATATTTCAGACTACACTTTTACAGCCACCCCCCCCCTTAGTAGAGAATTAAAGTTACTTGCAAATTAACCCAGAAGAGTATCTGTTACTGACTTGCCCCCCCCTCAAAACTACTTTTTACTTTTGGATCTCTGGTCAGATGACACCTGGCCATTGCCCTGGGTTCAGCTAAGAGACTTTGTCTGGGCTGGAGGTTGGGATTTGCTGGGCAGACCATGTTATTGCTGATCCTTGTGCAACCAGGTGTCTGGATGGACCCAGATACCATAGGGTGTGTGTGTGAAGGGGGTGCTAGTGACATGGAGTACCCCATAGAAAGAAAATGGCCCTGTGGTCTTTAAGAACTGCCAAGTGTATCCCAGAGCAAGAAGATTTTGAATAGGAAAGGAAAAAGAGGGAGCAATTAAGGAATTTGCTGAGTGCCTACTATGTTCCAGGCATTTACCATTCATTTCTGTCTTTCATCACACCCAAACACCCAAAAGGATGGGACCGTCTTGTTTTCCACTGAGAAAGCCCAACAGGGTAAAAGAGGTTGAGCCACTTTCTTGGGGTCACACTGCACATACGTGGGAGAGCTATGGACTCCTTGCTTCTTTTTCTCACTTCGTAAAGATCTGCTTTCCTCCACGCTTCCAGATTGGAGAGGCTTGGGATAAATCCAGGAGCAACACGCGTGAGGGTATAGTCCCTAGCTCGCTTGGAGCAAGGATATGCTGGCTGGCCCTCTATCTGTGGGAGTCATTGCTCTGCCCCCCCCGCCCCGTTTTTTAAGCCTGGTCCCCAGGAGGCCTGTGCCTATGTGGGAGAGCAGCGTCCAAGACCAAAGCCGAGCTGGGCGGGAAGCAGCCTAAGTCTCTCTAAACTGTTTTCTGTGCCCATCTTCTTTGCCCCTCCACCCCAGGTTCCAGAGGCAAAAGGGGAGAATGGAGATCTCCTGAAGCATCTTTTGGCTGTGCTTTCTTAAGATAGAGACGGCAGGAAAGGTTTACTTTTCCTTCCAGAAGAAACACGGGAAACTGTTTGCAGCTTAGAAACTACAAACCCCGCGCTCTCCCTTCTCCCTCCCTCTCGCCTCCTCCTCCAACTTCGCCCACCAGCTCCCACCACCTCCTCTCTCCGTTCCTCTCCTCCTCTAGCCTTTCCCCTCCCTCTGGGTCTCCCGCCTTCCCAGAGCACGCGCTGCCAAGCCCCGGGGCGCCGGGCGGCCAATGGCACGGCGGCAGGACGTGATGTCAGGCGCGGCTGTAGAAAAGGCGCGGAGGCTTGCGCTGGCGCGGACT